CCAAAGAACAGCATTCGTCAGATCTCAGAGACAAGTCTCTATCTCACAAACACTCGTGACTCCATTCGATACGTACTGTTTCTCCTCAGTTTTCTGACTGTTTGGGACAGATAGTTGAGAATTTTGTCACAGTTTTCTCTTCAAACCCGTCAATATTTCACACGTCTTAAAGATGGAGACCACACAAAGTCTTTCTTGGTTTGAAATCGTAGAACGAGGAGTTAAGGTCAATTATGATGAAATAATTGACTTTTCTCCCAACACAGAGGTTCAGGTCAGTGAGGTCCACCCAAAAGCCTCACTGCCTACTAACTGTGGGACTCAGGGCACAGATCAGCAGGAATCTGGTGAAAAGCTCCAAAAACCTGCTTGTAGTCAGGATATTCGTTCCCAGTACTACAGGAGAGAGACAAACCAGTACCAGCCTTCTGTCAGTACTCAGGATATTCGTTCCCAGTACTACAGAAGAGAGACAAACCAGTACCAGCCTTCTGTCAGTACTCAGGATATTCGTTCCCAGTACTACAGAAGAGCGACACCTCAGCAGAAACGTCCCACTATGATCCGCCTCAAAGGTTGTAGGAAAGGGACGGACTCAGGACCCAAAAGTGTCTCAGAACCCCCAAAAACTGCATCTACAATCAAGTCTGAGCAGCCTCGAACTCCAGTAATCTGGATGATTGGATCCAGTTACATCAGACGGGGTGAAAAGGCGGCTCAGCAGCAGTTTGGGGCAAACTTTGGACTCAGAGCTAAGGTCCAATGGTTTGGTAAAGGAGGCATGGGCTGGAGTGGTGTCCTTCCCAGGTTTTACTCCGAGGCTCGCACACACGGTCCACCAGATATTCTGGTCGTCCACGCTGGAGGAAACGATCTGGGTCACGTTTCCCCGGTGGAACTGGCTTCTCAGATCCAAAAGGATTTGTCCCACCTCCATAAGGACTTTCCGAAAATGAGAATAGCCTTTTCCGCCATCAACGAACGGCAGTCGTGGGGATACGGGCAACCAGGAAGAATTAACAACAACAGAAAACAGGTTAATTCTTTACTGAGGGGGGCTGTTGGGAGCTTTGGGGGCCTGGTCATCGAGCATCCTGAGCTCAGGTTCTTCAAAAACGCTCTTTTTCTCCCAGACAGAGTGCATTTTAGTAAGAGAGGAAACAGTTTGTTTCTGGGCAGCATTCACTCTGTTCTGGAGAAGATTCTGGCTCAGAGGTGTAACACCTAAATCTGTTACGCCTTAAAAAGATAACAGCTGACAGAAAAGGGCAAATGGACGAGCTTCTCATCCAGCACCAAACACAAAAAATATTTATAAATAAATAAATGAATTTAAAAAAAAAAAAAAAAAAAAAACCAACTAACTCTGCCAGAGTTTCCCTTTTGGGTCACTTCTGCCGGTCCCAAGCCCGGATTAAAGAGGAGGGGTTGGATTATAACACAGAACTACATCCACAGTAGAGGGATTTTACTCTTAAGAAATAAAATGAAGGCAGGTTATGACATATGCAAATATATTTAGTAAACATTTATAGTTTCTAATCAAACATGTCAAATAGAAAACTATTTATTATACAATACAGTACAAACCCTGTTGCATCAGGTCAGCCAACTCTCACCAGAAATGAGCTCGACTAACTGCCGGCAATGCAGACCGAGCTCTGACACCAGTCGTACAGGGTCCTTACAGCCCGTATCAGAGGGCCTGGTACGCCATACTCCTGAAGTACCCCCCAGAGGGTACGGGCTGTTAGGACCCTGTACCCTACAGGTCCTATTCTTGACTGGACCTGTAGTCACCTCAACATCTGATGCTGCACAGAAGGAGGAGGACAGAAACTTCAGCAGCGAGCTCTGAAGAAGACTGCAGTAGTAGTTGAATGTGTTAAAGAAGAATGGTGGTGAAGATGACCTCCATCCTACAAAACCCCTCCTACCCACTGCGTTCCACTGTGGAGACCATGGACAGCTCCTTCAGAGGCAGACTGAGACATCCCAGATGTAAAACAGAACGCTACGGTAGGTCTTTCATCCCCTCTGCAGTAAGAGTGTATAACTCCTCAGTTTAAGCTGTACTGGCATTATCCTGGTACACAATAACACCAATGCAGTATTCAGTATGTGTCATGACTCCCATCCTTCACCCTCCTCTGCTTCTTCATTCAGCTCACCTGGTCCCCTCACCAAGCTCCAGCCAAGCCCTGTTTTCCCTAGCAACCTCAGTCAGCATCACAATCAACTCCATTCATCTCAGCTGTTCCTGTAATCAGCTTCATCCACTCCACCTGCTCCTGACTCCTCAGCTCAGCACTCACACCTGCTTCCCTTGCTATATATTCACCAGTCAGCCACCAGTTCCCGGCCAGATTATTGAAAACTTTGTGCCAGTAAATTCTCCAGCCATCCACCCTGCCTGATCTCTGCCTCCGGACCTCGTTTTTGCTCCTGACCCCTGCCTTGTACTCTGCCTGCCTCCCCGACCTTCGCCTGTCCTCAACCTTGCCTCTTGCCTGTTCCCCGTATCTGCATGTCCGATCTGGTTTTGATCCTCGCCTCCTCTCCGACTCTGTCTCCAGCCTCGCCCAACTCTGGTAACTCTGCATCCTAATGAAGACTTTTTATTTTACTCTCATTGTGTTTGGCGTCTTCACGGGTCTTCCGAGTTCTGCTCGTGACAGTATGTGTTCAATATTTGTGCAATACCAGATTTACATGGTATGTCTGTGTCCCTTACAGCATGCTGCATAGTTCTAGAACCCAAGTTTTTCATTTTTATTTGTAGTTTTTGGTGGTCGAAGGTTACAATAATAGCTTACTGCCTATTTGTTATTATCAAAAGTCGTCATTTGCATGTTTTTACTGTGTGGGCGTCGGAACGAGCCCCCGCACCGTGAGAACAAACATCTCAGCTCTAAAGCCGATCTTCATCCGTGTACGTCACACGTAACGTGATCAGGAAGCAGAAAATCCATGTGTTAGGAGTTCGTTTTGGGCAGCTGCTGTAAAAAAAAAAAAAGGCGCGAACCGGAAAAGCTTCTGCCGATCACAATTTAACAATAGATTATGAAAGAACGGATAATGCTCGAAACGCGTAGATTCTTCCTGTTGTAAGACGTGAGTTTCCGTCTTGTTTTGGTAGTTTTGGCGTCGAAATCATCCTAGCGGGCAACGTTCTGTGACTCTTAAAGAAACAGTAAAAACGGTGAGAAACGCTGGCAGCGAAGGGCTTTACCGATCAGGAAACGGGTAGCAACGAATGAGTTAACAACTGATATTTTTTTCCTTCTCAACTCGATTTGTTTATCTGTTTCAGAGAGTGTTATTGTTTAGTCATGTGAGCAGTGAATTAAATGATCTCAGAACCGTAAATGTGTGTGTTGTCTGTACATAATTACGCAAATTCAGCTTTAATCATTTTCATTCTTTACAAAATCTGCTGATTTTAGAAGCAATAATGTCAGTATATTGGTATTGGCAAATATCGGTTATCGGCCCTTACAGTGATCTTAATATTGAATATCAGTATCAGCCCAAAAATGTCATATCTGTGCATCACTACTTACAATGTTGCATAGTATGAACACTTCCTCCATTTTTTTAAACACTGTATTGTTGCCTTGAAAGAATGAGGAAACTGTGCCCTCCAATGACAAAAAACAGAACAATAGTTTCCAAAAGCATTTAGAAATAAAGTGAAGATAGGGAGTTGCTACCTTCCAGTGGCTGAATGCTGGTACTTTGTTCTTTTTATCCGTTTTATTGAGAAATTTTATCTTAAAGCTTTAAAAAGGTTCTCTCTGTTTGTATCTCTTGTTGAACACATAAGTAAAACAGATTTGTTGAGTTTTAAAAGTTAAGTAGTTTGTATATGTGATAATATTCCGGCTTTTCCATTAGACTATGCCGTTAACACTAATTTAAAACCTAATGTAATTTTAAGTGGTATCATTTATTTTGAAGGAATCCACAGGAAGAGTAGCGTTTCCATCCAGGTGACCTAAATAATATAAGTCTCTTATAGACAGGGCATGTTGGCGCCAATCATTCAATCCAAATAGATCACAAGTAATTAAATGAAAAACCTCATCCAATCAGTGTGTCCTGTTCTCTAGGGTTGGATCATAATCCATCCTTCAAACTACCCTCCTTGGAAAAACTGTGTGCGTGTGTGTGCGTGTGTGTGTGTGTGTGTGTGTGTATGTGCGCGCGCTCGCACTTGCCCATTTGGTGTGTGTGCGCTCGCGCTTGCCCATTTGGTGCATGTGTGTGTCATGAGCCATTGTTTAGATGTGGCCATCCTTATGCTGACAAAAATGTAACTAAGAATTTTATTTAAGATACTTTGACTTGAATAAACATTTAGGCAAATACTTTTACTTGTATTTGAGTAAAAATGTGCCACAGTGTTGGTACTTTTACTTACGTAGAAAATTTTAGTAGTCTTTTCACCTCTAAATGTTACACATTCTCTGTTTTTGAGTGTGATCTCATCGTCTGTTGAAGTAGTATCAGAGCAAGTGATTTTAGAAATTGATCAAGTTGATTAAGAGGACTGGCTCTGTTGGGGACTCAAGCTTTTAGAGCTGACTGTACAAAGAACATGACGGATATTCCTGAGCGTCCTCTTCACAAATTAAGTGTCTTCAGTCAAAGCTTCTTCAGGTCTGCTGTAACACAAACCACTACAGAGCATTTTTCTTCTCACAGCTAGAACCTGCCATAATATTAAAAAATTAAAATAATACGTTTACTACAAAATCTGATTTCCATTTGAGATTTAAAAAGTGGATTGATTGATTGATTGATTACATAAAGTACTGAAACTTAAGTGAATAGTTTTACTACTGTATTTTTTCACAAATGCAAGTTGTGGTTATTTGAATGTTAAAATCGCCAGTAAAGAATGACATGAGGATCAATGAATAATTAAAAAGCTGTACATTGTTATCAATTTGCATCACTGATCCACACTTGGACAAGAACACGGCTAATTTAGTTGCTTATGCAATTTCCGAGGTATCTTAAACGCATCACGCCATTTTCTTTGGACCCGGAAGTATAACGTAAAACGTAAACACAGCTGTGAAGGCTTCACGAACGATGGTGTACGTGGCCAACGGTGAGTGGATTGTCTTGTTTAATAAAAAACAGTTTATTATTATTATTAAAGCAAGTATTTAATATTGTATGTCATCGTAGATAAATATAGGACATTTATAAACACTACAAGAAAGTCTTCATCCTGGCCAAATGTAGCCAGTTAGCTTGTTAGCATCATGACGTACTACGACTACTGAGGAATATTGGAAAATATGAGCTATTTAATTATAGATTTTAACATTTTACAGCTGTAACAATCGTAGTTTTATAATCTAACACTAACTAGTCAACCTAAAGCTGGTTTTGTTTGGACTGAATTGTACAATTTGGTGCAGAAACTGCGAACAACACTAGTGTAGTGACCACTGATCAAGGTTGGTCTGAATACTAAAAAAATAAACGATCATTTTCTCTTACAAATAATGTCTTTTAAACATTTGTCTCTCAGGTCAGGTACTGGACAGCAGGGCCCAGTCCCCCTGGAGCCTGTCCCTACTGACTGATTTTTTGTGGGAAGCAGTGGAGTTTTTCAGCCTTTTGTGAGTACAATATCTGATTAACTCGTTTATTATAATTCTAATTGAAGACTGTGCATTTATAGATATCATGAAATAACCTAAGCATTAAGGGAAAGTTCTTTTTTTTTCGTTTCGCTTATGCTGATGAATTTGTATTTGACCAGTTTTAGGACAATCATAGACCCAGACCTGTCGAAGGATGGAAGCATCGCTTCATCACGCTTCAGTGATGGCAGAGGGTAGGTTTCAGAAATACAGCCATTTCCTAACGTAATATTCAAATGTGACATCTGTGCAGATGTCTCATGTTAAAAACTGAGTTGTTATTCAGATAGTGCTTGCATTAGCGAAAAGTGGATTTCGATTTTGGGATTAAATTGTCATCATTAGCTCACTTTTATCTCTTTACCAAAGATCTGTAGCGATTTTATTTCTGGTCATTGTGAATTTATGGTCTAACTTGTTTACCATTAGGCCCCTGAGAAAGTTATTAGTTGTCCGTCCTGAGACTTGGAGACCAGGGTAGAAATGACCAGACTTTTGAAATGGGACCTAATGTCTCCCTGCTTGACTCTCCGCTTTAAGGGGTTGGATTGGGTGTTAAACCACCAAATGGTTCCCGAACGCAGCCACAGCTGCAGCTCACCGCTCCCGACAGGGATGGGTCATATGGGTAGAATAATTTCATGGGTGTGTGATGACTAATGGAACTTAAACTTCACATATGGTTGTCCTCTGCTTTACTTTCAGCCCTCCAGGTCCTCCTGGTGGCAGAAGGCGGATGGGAAGAATAAATCATCTTGCAGGTCCAACACCTCCACCCATGGGTGGAGGAGGATGAGGAAGGTGAGTGTTATTTATACCTTTTTGTTTTCTCTTATTGGACTTGGACACGTTTCCATAGAAACGAGTGGTTTCAGTCTAGTGAAGAAGTTGGATTATGATTTATTCTGAGGTAACTCTAATCTCTGCCTCCCCTCTCCTCCAGGTAAACGCCTACACATGCAGTGTAGGCGTGGGGCGTCACACCGTGTCTGTCTTCTGAGAACAGACATCACAGTGCTGAAGCCCCTCCTCATCAGCTGCTACTGTTATTGACAGTTTCTTGATGCCTTTCTGGGAATTCCTAAACACGGGGGCCAGAGTGGTTGATGCAGCAGCTCTCAGCATCACTTCCCTAGTTTACAGCAACATCAGTCTTTGTATAAATATCTATTACCATTTTAGTTACAGCCACCTCTCCTGGGAATCATCTCCCAGTTTGTCTGTTTCATATCCTTGGGTTAAAATAAAAAACATATATTAAGAGATTTTGGCTTGTCTGAACTGTTATTGAAGCAGTTTGTGGTTTATTTACAGTAACATATCTTCATTAACAGGAATACATATTTACAGAACACAAACTTTCTCTCTTGTTAGACTAGAAGCTACAGAAACCCTCGTCTGGGTAACAAACTATCAGGACCTTTACTAACTAAAACTTATTTTCGGTCCATCTGGCACCATCACTGCTGGCTTTCAGTTTTACCAAACAAAAGCAGCTCTTTCTCTGAGCATTCTGACCCCGAAGCGCTGCCACTCCCTTTGGTGGATCCACATTTCCTGTGTCGTGTCCAGACACGCGAGCACTGCTCCCCCCTTCCACGATATCAGCCTGGGGTCCATGTCCTTCAACAAAACCCAATTTACAATCAGTCAAATGTAATTCACTGTATTTTGTCTTTGGTGGAGCATTAATTTGGTGAATATTGAAACATTGAATATATTGAAATTTTCCCTTACTAACACTCATCTTGCGTTACCTTTGGTCGCGTGATAACCTCCACGTTATCGACCAGCCTTCTGAAAGAGGGCGGCATCTTGTTGATGATGCGGTGGAGCAGAAATTCCTGAGCGCCGTGAAACATGAGCCCTCCTCCCACCACCAGGATGGAGCTGTACATTTTACGTTTGGTTTCATCCGATGCTGACGACGAAAGGAGAGTTAAAACAAAAGCAGGAGTTCTAGATGTTTGTTTCATGTCTATTTTTTCCACAGCTCTTTAGGATTTATACCCATTTTCTTAAATCTTACATCATAACCACTTCCTTACCACAGCAGTCGATGCTATGTAGGATTGCTTTGTCCAGTCCCAGCGCTTTGCTCTCAAACTGGCTAATGATGGCAGTTTTCCTGGAGAGGTGAGTGGACAGAGGCTCTTCCACCTCTCCTGTCCCCATCAGACACTCTCCCTGGGCAGACCCAAGCTCCATCTCCCCCCGTGACCCTCCCCCTCCTCCCGTGCCACTGCTCCTGGGGATGTCAGACGTCTCCCCCGTCCTTCCCTGACAGCTCACCTCACCGTCCAAACCACCACCTAGTCTGGAAACAGCCTTACGGTCTGCAGTGGATTTGGAGGACTTCCAGACAAAAGGACAGAATAAATAAAACGTATAATAATCAGTGATCATACAACTCAATAGTGCATGGATATTACCTGATCCTGCTTGTTCTGTGTAGCCAGCAGGTAGTGCTCATCATGAGGATCCTCTGAGTCGCCTTGGGAACGGTGCTGAAGCGAGGTCATCTTCTGACCAACAATACCGAATGTGGTCGGGTAGAAAAGACCCATGGGTGCCTTTAGGGGAGACACAGACATGGATGTTAGATAAATCCTGTTAAAGGCATCATAAAACTAATAACTTCTGTCAGTTAGGTTTAAAAGGACACCTGTAATTTCTCATCTCCAAGCCGAATCTGGTACAGAAAAGCCGGGGCTTCTGGGAAGCGCGTCTGAAACTCGTGATCTTGTAATCCTGATATGTCCTGTTGAGAATAAGCAAGAGGAAGATTACAGAACTAAATCTCCAAAAACAGTTTTTACAAACGACTCCAGAGCACTAGAGTACTACTGTCCAGCGTGAAAAAGAAGCTGCTCAGATGCTGTCCGTCTTCTGACACACACCTGATTCAGGTGGCAGACGTTCTCTTTTAGATGCTGCAGGAGCTGACAGTCGAGTCTGCTGGTCAGCTGACAGTCTCTGTAGGGAAACCCGGCCCTCTGCAGGTGCCAGAAGAACGTCCGCGTCACGTCTGAGCCGCCGTATGCCAAACACAGCCTGCAGAGGTAAATAACGTCACATCAGACCAGATAATATGCAGCAAAACACAAGAAATTAAAAAGTTTTGTTATATTTTTCACTTTGTAATTGTCTTTGCATGAGCAGCTCCTACCTCGAGTTCCGATGGGACACTCCATCCTCTACGCAGCACACACTGGTCTTCTGGTCGCCTACGTCCACGACGCAAGCGCTGCTTAAACCGCTGCCGAATGTAGCACAAACCGACTCCTGGTGCACGATGATAGCTTAACAAACACACACACACACACACACAGAATCAAGTCATTTAATGCTATGAAAAAAAAGGTAAGAAATAAGCAGTAATATAAGATTATGCTAGTGTATACCTGAGAAGCCCATATTAAGCAGAAGCATGTTGACCATTTCCTTTATGTGCTGTCTGTTGTAGATGTCAGGGACCAACAGGATGCATCTGTAATACTGAAAGTCAACAATCAGAACAAACTGAGTCACTTTCCAGCAAGACAGATTTTTGATTCAACTTTTCAAAGTTTGCAGACCACCACTCCTTACAATACTTTAGGGAACATCAGGAAATTTAAAAAAAGCAAAAGCACATCTCACCTTTAAATCTTTCAGGGGGATATCCAGATGCTTCTGAATAACGTGACTCCAGATTGTCTCTAGATCAGCCAGGACCGCCGTCAGGGAACCTCCAGATCCAGAATGCACGTTGAGCTGACCTCTAACAACCGGCCAGTGGACGTTGTAGCAGTCGGATGGATTCACATAGACAGCCTGCATGATGTATGAATGTGAAGAATTTACAAACTTGTAACACATAAGTATATAAATAAAAACACGTCACAAACAGATGTTTTTTCTTGTTTGTGTTGCGCTGACCTCATCTCCCACCAGGTAAGCAGGATGGTGGCTCGTGTTGGTCCACTTCACCTTGGAGCTGCTGTCCAGAACCGCCGGACGGATCTGACAGTTATACGCTCTGGCCTCAATGTACAGAAAAATGAAATCCTCATCATCACTCATCAACAGATTCCCAGCTTTTACCACATAACAGAATCCTCTTTCTGCATTAAACCTGTTCAGCTGACACCGGAGTCCTCCTCATGCCATTTGACATCTTCTTTGACCAGATGGCTTGGTCAACCATCTTCAGTCCATTCTGTCTCTGCTCATTACTCTCAGGTTTCTGTTGGACAGGAGGACACGAACATGGTTTATTTCAAAAGTGTGAGGGACTGTTACACACCTCACCTGGTGAAACCCGGCTTACATTTAGACCTTCTCTCAGAAGCCATGTGTCCTCGTATCTGGGCTGTCCACTTTGCTTGTGTCTGCGAGCAATCACATGGGGGATAGTAATAGGAACAGTATCGGTTGCTCGGCCAATGCGGACAGTTCTGGAACCGGGGTGGATCACGATGACAAAATTGCTCTGGATTTGCTGTAAAAAGGAAAAACATAATTAAAATTTGGGCATAAATAGATTACATTACTCATGTATAGCATATATAATTAAACACATTACTTCTGTCAGTACTGTTATGTGTTTTGTCTAAAAAACAGTCCTCTTCAGGACTTAAAAATCTAAAGAACACATATGATACAATAATAATAACTTATTCTAAAGCCATTTGGCTCCGTTTTGGTTAGACTTTACAACCCTGGTAGCACTAAAACAGCCACGACATAGAAACTCATACATTTTATATTAAATAATAACAAACTGTTTTAGCTCTTGTGTTTTAACAAAAACATATAAACATTAAAGTGTTATCTCACCTCCTGAAGCGGTTCGGCGATGGCTGCAGGAGCGATGGGTCTTTTCACTCCGCGCTGTTGCTCCTTCTCTTTCTCCTTGTCCCGGTCTTTTTCTCTCTCCTTCCCGTTTTCCACTTCTTTCTCAGCCTGAGTCATTCTCACGTTTTACAATCTCACATTAACTATCATAAAATAACACCTTCGCAACACTCTGGCTTCAAATGTACATCAAAATGTTGGAACAAATAGTTTCTCTTCCCTCTGGTCTGCGTGGAAAGACCTTACTTCCGTGTTTGATCACATGATAGTAATTCAAGCTTCCTATTGGGCAAGATATGTTATTCCCCCGCGCTATCAGTTTTTGCAGTTTATTCATAATTGTTTTAATATTCATACGAAAAGATATAGTTATTATCCTACCACTCAGATAAAAATTGTATCTCATAATCATGACTTAGCTATTTTTATCAGCTATTAATTTTCTCTGTTAGTGTTTATTTTGAAGCAACCAGTAACTGAAAAAAATCACAGATCTTTTAAAATGTTTATATTTTGTCTAAATACATTTTTACAACACTAAATTAGTTAAAACACTTGCTCTACAGGTTTCATTGAATGAGAGGAGATTTAGCGCCCTCCGCTGGCAAAAAATAGACCAACACTCTCACTCTGATTTCCAACACGGTTTAGAGAAGAAAAGGAGAATTGCTGCCCTCCAGTGGCCAAAGCTGGTACTAAACTTTTTAACATTTAGCCAATAAGGGAATTAGCCTTCTCACAAGTGTTTCTCACCTGCTTTTGAAAGTGCTGAAGCGCTCTTAAATTTAATCCCAGCTTCCCTAAAGTTGGAGATTTTTTTATACATATCAATTTATTTTTACTGTCAGTGCTTATTTTTAAGTAACCAGTAACTGATCTTTTGTACTATTTGTGTTTTGTTTAAATAGACGTTTATGTTACGTCCATTGACCTGTAGGGGCTCTCTTGGAGTCAAGGGCGTCAGTTTGTTTTCAGAATTGCTGGGGACAATAACCATACACTTGAGTGGGGTTTAAAAATTGCTGGGGACAATATAGGCTAGCACAGGGGTCGGCGGCTCTGTAGCCGCATGCAGCTCTTCCATCCATCTGCTGCTCTGTGCTTGTAAAATAATGAATGGATATTTAAATAAAATGCTTTATATTTTACTGCATTAATTTTACATCTGTATGCTAATTCTAAATGTAAAGATTGTCTGCGTAAACCTGAACAGGTCCAACCCGGTCTTACTGTGAGACCGGGTTGACGCGTCACGCTTGTGCGTAATTAAATGCGCTTCCTGAGCTGGAGGATGTGAGATTCTGGGATTCTCCTCAGACGGCTCCTGGATGCGTCGCCACATTGGAGACAGGAACAAGCGCTATTCAGCCAAAGTTTCATAATCAGGGAACATTTTCTAAGTGACAAGTCTCTGAGAGACCGGGTTTGGAAAACACTCGCTTCAGTGGGAGGAACCTTCCCACATGCGCTCTGGTTCTGAGAGCCTGGATTTGTATTCTGAACAGTCTAAACATGTTTTAAAAAGAAACGTATGACAAAAGTGGCACCTGCTCAGTAAAACCACCAACAGGGTGAAAAATATCAAAATATTGTAGGCAGAGACGGGCTTCTGGATCCACTTTATATAAATCGTTTTATTGAATATCTTCTTATGAAAGATAACTTTGATGTACACGAGCGACCAGGCGCGTTGCAAGATTTTCAAAAGTGTGGGAGATGTTGTCTGTGCCTAAAATAATTTGATGTTATACATCCTGTTAGTTTAATTTCCATAATAGCGGAGCAGGTGCGAATTTTAGACGCGTCACGCATGTCTCCGTTTTAAACATGTTTAAACTGTTCAGAATACAAATCCAGGCTCTGTCTCGTTAGATTGGTGTAACTAAAGTTTGTACTGAATGAAACTTTACATTAAACCATGTTGAAAAGAAAAGGATCCGATTAAATCATTTCCCCTCATTTACAGTCACGACGTACAGCCCAGTGGCTCTGGGGTTAATCAAGTTTAGTTTTTTCTCTTTGCAACAATCTTCACAAGAAGGCAAAACAGTTAAATGGCAGGTTACAGATATTTATATTAGACTTTTATTTTGACGGATAAACTCAAGGATGCTGGCTGTTTTGAAAGAATTACCCCAACGCACACTGATGCGCATGGATGAGCTTGGAAAAATGTTCTTTTTATGAAATTATTCAACTTTGGCTGAACAGCGCTTTCTCCAGCAGGACCGAGCGCAATTTGTGGCAGCGGCAGCGCTTGTGGCACTTGCAGTGGCAGCTCTGATACTTCCGGGTGGTGCCACGGCTTTTAGTGGCACCCGCGGCTTTTAGTGGCACTAGCCACGCCCCCTACCACTGCTGCCATTACACTTCCGGGTGGTGCCACGACTTTTAGGAGTAAGGTCTAGCTGCGGACATTGCCCAGGAAAAACGTTTTTCCTGGGCAATGTCCGCAGCTAGGTATTATTGGATTATTGACTTTTAGTGGCACTAGCCACGACCCCCTACCACTGCTGCTCTTGACTTTTAGTGGCACTAGCCACGCCCCCTACCACGGCTTTTAGTGGCACTAGCCACGCCCCCTACCACTGCTGCCATTACACTTCCGACTTTTAGTGGCACTAGCCACGCCCCCTACCACGACTTTTAGTGGCACTAGCCACGCCTCCTACCACTGCTGCCACGGTACCTGCGGCTGTAGGGACCTCAGTAATTGCAGCACTTATTGCATCATCGGCCTCATCATGCCAACGTTTTTATTTTTTACTTTATTAACAAAATCAAAACAAACAAGGCTGTCACCGAAAATATTTGAAATATTTCAAGCGGTTTACAAATGCGTTTCCCAGTCACTTCATGCATATACAGTGTAATGCAATCAGAAGCGTTAATGCATTTATTTTTTCCATCATTTTTGTTGCTCCCCCAGACGAATCCGTGACAGATCTAGTGGAAGATCCACAGACACTTCCGGGTGGAAGACCGGCGGTGGGTCACCGGCCTCCGGTACAGAGTCAGGAAAAGCAGGGGAGCACCAGAGCCAGATGGAGAGCGCCAGAGCAGTTCTCAATTTCTGAAATAATTTATGACAACTGCTACCAATGTGGATTGTGGAATAAAAAGAGATAAACTGTTAGTTTTCTCAATATTGTCATTGCAATCGGGACAGATACCGCCATCTGCCGGCTTAAAATGGTTATTGCAGTACATTTTAAACTTTTTTTAAACTATTTCAATCTTCGTTTTCACATACATTCAGTTTACAATGTAACCTACATTCAACGTACTGAAGAATAAAGCAAATAAAAATGACCTCAGTTGAGGAAAATAAAAATTACATTTAGAATTTGCAACAATTACCACATGACACTACACCATAAAATAAATCATGATGCAAAATAATAATAAATTAAAAATGAAATATCATCAACAAACAAAAAATGTTCAGAGGTTAATATTTCAGCATTATATTTCAAACATGTATGATTAATTGGACTGTAATTTAAAGAACAAGAAACTCAGACATTGTTTCGTACTACTCATAAATCCATATGCACAATACAAAACTTTATTGTTGTGAAACCACAATATCTATTAACAATAAACTACATCCCCAAATCCGTTGTAGTGACAAAACAGCCTTTTCACTCCCAAGTTGTTTAAAATGTACTGCAATACCATTTTAAGCCGGCAGATGGCGGTATCTGTCCCGATTGCAATGACAATATTGAGAAAACTAACAGTTTATCTCTTTTTATTCCACAATCCACATTGGTAGCAGTTGTCATAAATTATTTCAGAAATTGAGAACTGCTCTGGCGCTCTCCATCTGGCTCTGGTGCTCCCCTGCTTTTCCTGACTCTGTACCGGAGGCCGGTGACCCACCGCCGGTCTTCCACCCGGAAGTGTCTGTGGATCTTCCACTAGATCTGTCACGGATTCGTCTGGGGGAGCAACAAAAATGATGGAAAAAATAAATGCATTAACGCTTCTGATTGCATTACACTGTATATGCATGAAGTGACTGGGAAACGCATTTGTAAACCGCTTGAAATATTTCAAATATTTTCGGTGACAGCCTTGTTTGTTTTGATTTTGTTAATAAAGTAAAAAATAAAAACGTTGGCATGATGAGGCCGATGATGCAATAAGTGCTGCAATTACTGAGGTCACTACTACAGCCGCAGGTACCGTGGCAGCAGTGGTAGGAGGCGTGGCTAGTGCCACTAAAAGTCGTGGTAGGGGGCGTGGCTAGTGCCACTAAAAGTCGGAAGTGTAATGGCAGCAGTGGTAGGGGGCGTGGCTAGTGCCACTAACAGGCAAGAGCAGCAGTGGTAGGGGCGTGGCTAGTGCCACTAAAAGTCGTGGCACCACCCGGAAGTGTAATGGCAGCAGTGGTAGGGGGCGTGGCTAGTGCCACTAAAAGCCGCGGGTGCCACTAAAAGCCGTGGCACCACCCGGAAGTATCAGAGCTGCCACTGCAAGTGCCACTCGTGCTGCCGCTGCCACAAATCGCTCCTGCTGTCTCTCGCTTTTTCCCGTCTCTAATATGGAGACGCATGACGCAGTCTGAGGCAGAATAGCTCTTCAGCTCAGAAAGCACCTGTAGAGACATTTGATCACGCACAAAGTTTATGTGGAGCAGAAGCGGTAGGGCCACGGCAGGTGAAACGTTCCTAGCCTACATGAAGTGAAACTGTTTAATTGTAACATTAATATGTTACTGGACACGCTGGTCTGGTTGGTTAGACCAGTGTTGGAAGTGGAAAACACACACACACACACACACACACCAATTAAAATAATGCTGATAGCGTGGACTAGAAGCCAGGTGATGGTTTACGTATTTAAATGAAGATCAGGCTGCTGTAAAATGTAATCTCCATCCACATCCAGACACAATTATCCTCTATTCTTTCTCTAGTTGCTCTGCTCTTGTCTGGGCTGACGTAGCTGATGGAGCGCGTGGCACGCCTAACTAGCGGCTGATGCACATTTTACGCATTTGGAGAGGTGGGCTGGATGCTTTGCGTTTACTGGAAGATGGTCCACTTAACGCACGGGTGTAGACTACATATTAATGACAAATGAATGACAATTAAATTGGGAGTTTTTACTTCATATTTTAGAAATAAAAATGACGGGGGAAAACATTTATGACGTCTTTTTAAACAACATTTTCTAGCGCGACCTGCCTGCTTCACTTAAGTCACTGCTTATTAAGGTCCGTCCAGAATTACCGTGGCCCACCCAAAAATGAAAACCT